ACAATCGCGGTGATTCCTCTCCGGCTGCCCCCCGCTCGCCCGGCCGGTGCCCCCTGGCCGGTGTCCCCGAGGGGAGGGGTTCTAGGCGCGGCTCCTACCTTGTGGGGGCATTTGGGTACCATTCCTAAAAACTGATGCGTCAGATGGCTCAACGCGCCTCGCACCCGGCAAAGTCGCCCGCTCCCAGGGGCACGGGGCGCGCGGCCGGGCTCAGGAGCGGTCCCCACCGCCGGCCCCGCGGACACTCCTTCCCATGTCGTGTTCTCCCCTTTTGCACCTTTGCCGTCGCGGACCCGGACGGACGAGGGGTTGTTTGGTTATGCGCATCCAAAAGGCTGTCCCCGGTCGAGGAGGAGACGTTTCACCTTTAGAAAGTTGTCAGGTTGACAGCCAAAGAGCAAAGTTTATTTTCCCCCAAACCAGGAGCCTCCCGTTTACTGCTGCTACTTTTGTGTTCGCTTTTCGGGGTGTAGTTTAGGAGAGAGAGATAAAAAGAAATGGGGCGGGGGGCGTGGAGCTGGTGGTACTGCTGGAAGTCGTGGTGGCTTGTCCAAAAGTGGCTTATCTGTTCTTCACGAGATAAAATGCAGAACCAACGCTCTTGTCTATTTCACATGAACTTTTGATAAGTTTTGGGAGGAGGCAATTGCTCAGGAAAAAAAGCTAAAGTCCTGAGTTTTAGCTTTTTCACGGCTAACATCCGAGGAAACAATGTGGTGGTTTTTTTTTAATGGATGACTCCTGGTGGTAAGATGGGGATTGGCCAGGGAGACCTGTCTTTCGGAGGCTTACACTTGCCAGGTCTCCCTACCTGAAAGGCAGGGTCTATGATTTAAAGCCACTGTATGTATCCAGTGAAGGTCTTTGAAGGTTCCTTGTCGCAATCATGTATGTATGGATATGTGAGACACTGGGAACCTCTTTGTGTTTGATTTGCTTTTCTTTATATACCTCAGGATACATAAAACCATCAAGTTTATTTTACTCTCTACCCAGTAGCCTGGAGGTATTGTATGTGAATTAGCCAGTCCTGTGACTATTTGAGGGGAGGGGAGTTAGTTTAAAATGTTATTAAATTATGATGACATTTGTCATCGCGGAGGTTCTAAGTACTTTCATGTGGAAAATTCTGATCTGAAAAGAAGTACAATGAATAGAAAATGTTTGGTTTGATCTGTCTTAGCTTTGCACTTTCCATTCTTCTTATTAAGATGGCTGATAATGTTTCCCCTTGGTTGGGATGTGTTTAGAATAGAAACAAATAGGGTGTACTTTTGGTATTCCTTTGAAAAGCGCTGCTACTGGGGAATGAACAAATTAGAAAAACCATGTTAAATGAGTGCTGTGATTCTTTAGCCTTTTGGTTTTGCATTTGTTTTAAAGTTGAGAATCAAGTTAAAAGAATCGAGACTAGGAGTATTTGTGCAGGTACATAGGTGTCCTCAGCAGTTTTTATGCTGAAAAATTAATTTCAGAACGAAAAATTGTACTTTGTTGAAATGGGTAACAAAGCACTGGGTCTGGTTCTGCCATTTGTTTTCAGGAAAGTTCTCGTCTCTCTAAGTAAGAGCAACACCTCATTGTGTTACCAAAGTTGGATACTTTAGAAGGTGCTTTCTCAGGTAATCCTAGATAAATTGAAGGCATGTGTGTTGCGCGCGTGTGTGTGTGTGTGTGTGTGTGTGTGTGTAAATGGCACATTGTTAAGAGGGAAAAGGGAGCAGAAATCAAAGCCAGAAAGATGTGCATCTTGAAGTCAAGTTTAAATTATTTTATTTTACATAAACAGTGTAGGGTGAATCAAGCAAGCATATTGTCACCCAGCATCCCATGATTACATTCAAATCAGCAGATGGGCAAGTTATGATTAGATTAGACATGACATATGCAGAAATTATGCTACTGTATTTTATATTAAAAGCATCATGGGCTTTTTGAATGAGATAATGAAAGTAAGCTTTTAAAGCATAAGAAATTTTTAAAAATAAATAAATTTTAAAAGATATTATTGACCATTAGTTTAAAAATATTAAGTGAATCCTTCTTCCCTCCTTTCTACCTCCTCCCAAGTTTTTAAGTCTTAAGAGAATATTTATCAAAGTATGATTAGTATTTAAGTGCACTGGTTATATAAAGCTCCTGTCTCCAGGTAAAGGTTTGCTGATTAGCAGGGTATTATTATTCAGAACCTTTAGAGAGAGAAATGAAGGGCAACGATGAGCAATATTTGCTGCCCATTGTACTCAGATGTGGTCTCTGTCTTCAAGGAGATATAATCTAATTGGTGGGAATTTTACCCAAATAACTATGAAACACAATGCATATTGTGGAGAAGTCAAGGAGGGAGGTATTAAAATTCCACTAGGCCAGTTAAGGAAGGCTCTGAGTAGGGCAAGGCATTTGTGTAGATGATTTGGATGATCGAGTCATATGATCATCATAATAAGCAAACACTTTAGGTAATTCTACTTGCTGATAAACCCTTGCATGTAGTAATTTACCTGGGTTTAAGCCATACAACAACAATATGAAGTAGATATTTTTATTATTCCCATTTTGCAGATGGGGTAACTGAGGTCAGATAACTAGAAAATGGTAGAACAAGCATTGCAACCCAGACATTCCAGCTTATACCTGTACTAGAGGCCTGGTGCATGAAATTCACACACAGGTAGCGTCCCTTGGCCTGGTCAGCGATCGGGGCCTTCCTTCCCCTGGCTGCTGGCTGCCAGCTGCCAGCTGCCAGCTGGGGCCTTCCTTTGTTCCACACCACCCCCTGGTGGCCAGCACACATCATAGCGAGCAGCCGAACTCCCAGTGGGTCAAACTCTCCAGGGGACAATTTGCATATTATCCTTTAATTATAGAAGATCCCTGTGCTTAATCACTCTCCTTATTTTCTCTCCCATTCTTGATGATCTTTCTTAAGTAGTTTCAAATAATTGATTTGGGAAAATATATTTTTCTGGCACCTAAATTTAGGAATCAGTTTTCTAGACAGAGCTCCAAAATAATGTAAACCCAGTAAATAAATTGTTTTTGGCATGTTAGATATTTATTCAATTTTTGGAAGTTGCTCTTTGTGCAATTTAAAGGTAACCATTGAGTGGGACTTATGATACATTTGACTTCGTACCTAGTAGCATACATATAAGGATTTAGAAATAAGAAGTTATAATTGTATTAGCTCCATTGCCTAATGGAATTTCTGAATCATATAATTTGTCTTGTAACTTTAAAAAATCACTTGGCTCTGGGTATTTTTTGGATTGAATTGTGAAGTTGGAATTTATTTAACGATTGAATGCCAGTCTAACCCTTTTAGTTTTTATTTCCACAAACAGCTAAATTTATAATGCCTGAATCAGGATTTTGAACAGAGTGTTATACATGTGTAAAATGAGAGACATTCAGTCACTGTTACTTTATTTTAAGGCAACTTTGAAAGCTTTTTTGGGATTGTGAAACAAAAGGTGCTTTAGAAATACACTGTGCCTAGCATAGGCCTGCTCAGTAAATACTGCTTTGTTGAATGAATAGTCCAATTGATTTTATTTATGAAATTTCAGGAAAAGTTCACATTTGTTATTGGTTATCTAAGTATTGGCATCACAATAAACTCAAAGTGGATTTAAAGATTAGGAAAAAAACTATATCTAGGCAGTGGTAGGGGTACTGCCTGTCCTTCCCTATCCAGCAAGATGCAGACCATTCAACTCCTTTGTCAGTTCCCTGAGTGACTCAGTTTTAAGAACTCCAGAGGCACAGTCTCTGTGAATGAATATAAAAACTGCTCTCTCCTTGTCTGAATGGGGTAGTTCTAGTAAACTCCCACAGCAGGATAATTTATGGTTGATGAGCTCAAAACCTACTGGGAAAAGTAGCAGAACTAAAGTCAGGATATAAAGCTCATATATGTATGTTACTATTATAAGATAAAAGAGGCAAAACAAAAATTTTAAAAAGATTTTTTTAATAAACAGTTTAAGTTAATAGGTGATAGTATATTATTTTCATTTACCAACCCCTATTGACAAAATTTTCAGGATCTAAGCTGGTAATTTCAAGTTTACAAGTCAACTGTAGTTTGTTATAACAAAGTTATGTGTTCCTGTAAGTACAGATTTGGTTTGGAACAGTTATTCTTAGTAAAATAAAACAAAAAACAAAAAAAACACCAGATATACTCTCACCTTTTCACTGATAGAAAATTTGGGGACATCCTTTCCCATAATAGACTAGTTTTGTCTACATTGAAAATCCACTGAGACAGGTAGCCCCCCTCATCGATAGTCTCTGCATAAGTCTTAGGGAAGACCTTAGCAGTTACATGTCATGTAGTGAACCTAACCATTCACATTGGTGGTGTGTAAATATTGGTGATAATAGCACCTGTATTATGCTCAGCTTTTAAATTCTTAAATAAGCTTCTTGCTATCCCCTGAATTAACATTAGACCAGTTGACAACCCGAAATGATGTTGATTCTCTGGCCACACATGCAGAAGGTTTCCTGTTTTCCTTGACTTCTGCGGAATCTTATTGATTCCACCGGTATGGATTTTTCACGTTATAGTATATAAGACTCTGATCTCATATGCACAGGCAGTATTCACTGTTTTCTTACCTTTTACATTTATTTGCTCTCTCTACCTCTGATTCAGGAGAGGATTCTATTCTTTCTAGTTTTGGAACACTTTTATTGCTTTTGCAGTTACTTAATATGGTGGAGTTAATAATGTTTAATATCTCAAAATCAGCCACAAATACAACAGTGTGCCCAGAAAAAAGGACAAGATGGCATAAACTTAAGTGGCTGTGCATGATTGTTAATACCATCTATTTTTTTGCAAGCAAGTTGTGCCTTTGCTGTGGGGTCTAGCTTTCATTTCATGAAAATTTAGAAAATTGAAAGTCTGGAAACAAAGAAGCTTCTGTATACATTAATAAGCACATTTTAAAGTTTTTATTTTGATTTTTTGGTCCTGTTCTCCTTCCATACAGTCATTGCTATTCTGCTTTTATGACTTGGAGATATTGGCTTCGGTTCTCTAGATTCTTCAGCAATCCTGGAGACACAGTAAGTAATTTGCTTATTTATATGAAAATGCGTTGTATAATCTATGTTTCTCAAACGTTGTCTCCCTACAGTAATATATAAACTTAGATCTCTGTATATCAGCTTCCATTCTGACATGTTCTTGGCTCCTTTTTCTTCTTCAATGTCATCAGTTAGGGTATGGATGTAACATTAATTTAATCAGTAACAGTAACCATTTACTTACCACTTACGATGTAGCAGACATAGTGCTAAGTACTTTATATAAGTATTCTCATTTAATCCCCACTTACAAATGAGGAAACTGGAGTTTAGTGAGGTGAAGTGACCAGGGTCACATAGGTAGATAGTAAGTGGAAGAGTTAGAAATCGATCCCTAAGACCCAGGTTTGCTTTCTCTCTTACTCCCCACTTCCCCGCTCCTTCCTCCCTTTTTTAGGAGTTATTTACAGTATTGCATTTCAAACATTAGTTCTCTTAGAAAAAATATACATAAATAATTCAGCTCTATTCAGATTTCCTATAGGGGAGACTTGCTCTTAGAGAGAGCTTATTGTAATAATAATACTAGTAACACCTTACGTTTGTATTATGCTATATAGTTTTACAAAGCATTTTTTATATATCTTACTTAATTCTAATAGCAAACTTAAACTCAGGTCTGTAGATTAAAAGTTGCTAGAGGCAGCTTGCTAAGGACTCCATAAAATTAGTGTTTGAGACACAGTTTTTGCCTTCAGCAATTTTAATGCTGGAATAAATGATATAATCAGATGGTCTGATTTCATTCAAGCCAATTAGGAGCAGATAAATGTCATTATGACACAGCGTTTTCTTAAAAGGTGTTTATAGTTTTGAGCTTTGAGCTTTGTTTTTGGCCAAAATTGAGAAGTTGAAATTTTAGTGCTGCATTTTAAATCATGAAATGTTAGAAGTCTTTAATTCTTGTGATTCAGTGAATGATAGTTGAGTTGCTATCTACCTCATTCTGCACACAACTGTTGCATTTAACTAAAACAATTATGGTGAAAGAATGGGGTGGAGGTAGGACAGACATAATTTCAAAACTGAAATTAAAGAATTGGGGATCCTAATAAGGAGAGGCATCTTATGGTAGCACTGTTGCAGAAAATTGGGTGTAGACTTTAAAGAATGGATAAAAGCTATATGTATTCCCCTCTGGAAAGTTGTGTTATTTGAGCGATCAAAGAGCTTATTTAATGATCTGCTTTTAAAGTATTTTCTTGTCTCAGTGAATTTGATTTTTACTAAGAAGTGGGCATTTTTACTTAGTTAAGCATTTGCTCATTGACTTGCCCCCATTATGGAAACACCACACCATGTTTGCCCTTCATAATTTTTCTGTATTTGTCACAGAGGCTGGATGCCTGGCTTGTAGAACTAGGGGGTTGCCTTTTGTTGTGTTTTTATAATAGAGGTCCATTTCGTTTGGACACATCTTTTAAATCTGGTTGAGGATATTCCCCATATGTCCATGATTATCTAGCCAAACAGAATAGACTTTTTATATTTTAGTGGCTAGAGTGGAAAAATTTTAATCTTGAATTGCATATACTTGGCCCATTGGTATTCTTAATACTAGCAAATCCTAAAGGAATCACAAACTCTTAATATTTTAGTGAGGTTAGCTATCGTAATTCAACATTTATCAGCTATTTGCATGGCACTGTATTAGCTGCCATGGCAAAATAGAGACATGTAAAATATATTGCCCTTCCATTTAGAAAGATTTCATCTAGTAAGAGACATAATACATGGGCATAAACTCAAATAGAAAGTGATAAGGGCACTGTGGGAGCAGAGGAAGGAGAGATTGCTTCTGACTGGAGAGATTAGGAAGGATTGACCATTTAAAGTAAAGGATATACCAGGCCAAGAAGTAGGATGAGTTGGATATTTTCTGTAACACCTGATAAATTATTTACTTATTTACTTAATTATTTACTTCTCTCTGTGTCCTATTGAATTTGAGCCCATTGAGCTTAGAGAACAGGTGTTTTTCAGCTTTTCATTCTCTGCATTATCAACTGCTCAACCTGGTACATTTAATTAAAGTTGTAATTTGGTAAGATTACAGTGGCAAGAATGAATGTGGAGTGAGTTTCAGGGAAGAGGGCTCATAAATTGGAAGACCAATGAAGAGACTGATTTAAATAATCTAGGAGAGTCCGGCCAGTGGCTCAGTTGGTTGGAGCATTGTCCTGTACACCAGAGGGTTGCTGGTTCCATCCCCAGTCAGGCACATACTGGGTGAACCGATCAATGTTTCTCACATGGATGTTTCTCTCTTCCTTCTTCTAAAATCAATAATAGCATATCCTTGAAAGAAAAGAAATTATTAAAAAAATAATCTAGCCCTGACCAGTTTGGCTCAGTGGATGGAGTGTTGGCCTGCGGACTGAAGGGTCCTGGGTTCGATTCCAGTCGAGGGCATGTGCCTTGGTTGCGGGCACATCCCCGGTAGGGAGTGTGCAGGAGGCAGCTGATCAATGTTTCTCCCTCATTGATGTTTCTAACTATCCCACACTCTTCCTCTCTGTAAAAAAATCAATAAAATATATTAAAATAATAATCTAGGAGATAGATAATAAGTTCTAAATTAGGTTGGATTGGAAGAAAGAGACTCGATGGATGTGTGTTGAGACCTATGGGATGGCCTATGACAGTGATGGCGAACCTTTTGAGCTCGGCATGTCAGCATTTTGAAAAACCCTAATTTAACTCTGGTGCCGTGTCACATATAGAAATTTTTTGATATTTGCAACCATAGTAAAACAAAGACTTACATTTTTGATATTTATTTTATATATTTAAATGCCATTTAACAAAGAAAAATCAACCAAAAAATGAGTTCACGTGTCATAGGTTCGCCATCACTGACCTATGAGGTACGTCCAGTGTACCAGGAGATGCGGTGATGGAAAGACACGGTGCTCCCACAGAACTACACTCACAGGTATAGAAGTAATTGTAATATCACCCTGCTGCTGTAGTGAAGAAGCAGTGTGAGGAGCGCTTAAAGGAAAGGAGCACAGGTTTGGGAGAATCAAAGAAGCTTTGCCTGGAGGTGGTAGTGTTAGAGCTTAGACTTGAAGGCTGAGTTGGAGTTTTTTCAGGCCACCAAGCAGCAGGAGGACATTATAGCATAGAGATGTAAAGACTGTTTAGGCAGCCACAAGAACCTGGATTATTTTAAGATTGGGACATGTGGCTGGATAGGATATTTTATATTTGCTTTATAAAATAACTTTTATTTGCCATTTTTAAAATGCTTATTTTATCCAGCTTTAGCGCTCTGAGCTTTTGTGTTTCTGTTGTTTCTTGCATCCTAGTATAAGCACCTATGCTGTGTTTCCCACCCTCTACACTTCACCCCCTGCCCCAGCCTGCAAGTATACTGCCAGTGATAAACTGTCTCTTGCTTTCTTTCTGTGAAATTAAGTGGATAAAGTAAGGATACCATTAGCCAGAGAGATAAAGAGAGAAAGAAATCCACAAAAGACCTTTTTTTCTGATGAATGTGTAGAGCAACTAGGGTTGTGTAAGGAGAATGCAGCATCAAAGTATGGCGCCAAGAGCACTTGACTGAGGGAGGGGATTGTGGTAGGAACGTAATCATGTGCCTTTCCCATAAAGTTTTATGGAACTCTTAAAAATTTCCCAGGACTGTAATATCTCGTGCTAAAGTTCTTTAATTTTGAGTCTAGCCCTGATTTTTTTCTGTCTTCTCTACTTAACCCTTCCTATATTTTAACAGCTTAGCATAACTTCAACGCCAAATGGTGTCAAACATTATCTCTAGTTTGCCCCGTCCCACCATTTTTCATCCTTCAGAAACTTGCACCTGCAAATCATGCTTCTGAACTTTGTATGTATAATCTGTATTAGACTGCTGGAGCTGAAAAGCATTCTAGGTTTTTTCTTCACATAGGTTTACTTCATACAGCCATTTATTTTTTTCTGTCTTGTGGATTGGGCCACTGAAACAGAGTATAGTTAAGCTGTTTTCTAAGGACAACCAAAAAGTTAATTGTAGACTCCCATTAAAATTATATCCATTGTATTATTTCTAGGCTTGTTGGCAGCTGTGTTTGCTTTAGTGCCCTTAGTGGTAATAATAAAAGTTTATGGGCACTACAGAAAGGGAAGTGAAAGACAAGAACAGGAAAAGAAAAAGAAGGCTTGCAGACTGGCAAGAGAGGCATAGGGTGGGGGCAGGAGAAATGCAGATGGTTAAAAGATGTCAAATTCCTCTAACACCTGTTCCAGGTGCCACTGGTGGGACCAGTGTCATAGTTTAAGATTAAGTCAAACTGCCAGTAATCCTTTCTAAAAATACACTTGGTGTATTGTTATGCAAAAATTGACAGATTGTTTTAAAAAAATATTTTTAGGTTTAATAAAAAGATGTGTATGTACCTGTGTTTCCCTGTTTTTAGACTTGAACAGAAAGAGAAACAGAAACTGATACACTGTAAATATTAGTGAAAATTATAGGCACATTTCTGAAATGTTATAAAACCTTTAAGACTTAAACCATAAATTATGGATAGTCCTAATTAGGCAGAAGGTGGCAGATAGGGAAGGGAAGAATAAGAGGAAACATGTGTTTGGATAAGATTGCATTCTCATACCAACCATATAACAAAATATGTGTTATATATGAACTCTGTTTTAAATAATACTTTGTGTTCATTTCACCCAGTATTTAGGAAAGGTCAGATAATAAAAGATCAGGTATGTAGAAAGCCCTTTGAAGACTCCAGAGAACTTCATAAATACAGTGGGGCCTTGACTTACAAGTTTAATTCGTTCAGAGACCGAGCTCGTTAAAGAGCTCGTTAACTCAAATTACTCTATCAACTCAATGCAAAAAATCCGCTGAGAGACAGCTGGCATCTCAAAAAACTTGTTAGTCGGGACACTCGTAAGTCAAGGCCCCACTGTATGGGCACTACAACTGCACATATGAAAATATTTTTCATCAGTTGGCAGTTACT